TTATAAGGTTATGTACATTTATAAGGTAACATATGTGACCCAAGTTGGAGATTATTGGAATTTAATTTGTCATTTAGGCTTACATATATAATTAATTATGTATAAAAACTATTTTAAAATTAAACCCGTTTAAAGTGATCTAATAAGAATCAAAGTTATGGGCTTTGCAAATCTAAATAAACTGAGTCTAATTATGTGTAGAGATTGGATCTATTAGAATTGTATTATTATAATGGGCCAAAAATACATAGGAAACTATAAATAGGGGTTGTGGTTTACAATTCATATGCGATTCTAATTATTTGTGTCATCTCATCAATACAAGAATATAAGAGAAAACATATTGAAGAGAAAGATCCAAAATCCACAATTGCGAACAATCCATCAAGAATCAAAAAGAAGAATTTAAGCAATCCCAATGATACAAGGAATGTTCCGTGTTTAATAATTCTCTTGGTGATTTAACTGGGAGATCTTGACAATAAAGTAATTAAGTTTTCATGTTCTTGGGGTTTAAAATTTTAATAAAATCTAACAGCAATCAGCTACTCTTAACTTTTATTGAAATTGTACCATCATCAAAGACCATTGATTCTCTGAAATTTCCTAATTATGATTTATGAATCTGGAAAGATGCATGAAGCTTTAACTCTCAGCTAAATTTATTTTCAAGCCTCAACCATTGGAACGTTCTCATTTCTCTAACGTGTCTTTGATTTCTTTTGTGCAGGTGGAGTTTTAGTACTACTAGCTGCATGCAACTTTCACTACTGCTTTTGGTTTGAACCAAGAATAATGTTGCTTGGATGATAGATTAAATTGTGGCAAAAAAAATAATTGGATGGCAGTGTTGACTGTTTTTTTAAACAATTCAATGATAGAATATCATATAGCATTCGTCATCCAAGATGTCAAAAAATTCTGGCAATCAAACGTGATTGTTGTACCAATCTCCTACAGTTGATCTTTCGGTCATGCTTTGTACTTCCACCTTTGCTCTAGGTACAGAGGCAAGTTATTGGACTACTTCAGGTAACTTTACAGCATAATGTCAGCATCAGTGTTACAAAACCAAATTCCTGTGCGTCAATAATTTTGTAAGTCTTTATTTTACTATTAAAGTTAAGTGATGCTCAGATAATTAAATAAACTACTCATTTTCATATTTAGTTTTCTTCTCTTTATTGAAATCCTAAAAAAAATACCATTTAGTTAGTCCCTGTTTGGTACACATTAAAATTTTCATTTTCATTCTTCTATTTATTTTCATCCACACATTTTTCAATAAAATAATATTTTTCTATCACATCAATAACTTTTTTTTTCTTTTTCAACCACACATTCTCCAT